CTCATCGTATAAAAACTGTTCTTTTTTGTTATCTACTTTTACTGTAAGTCTTTTTCAATATGTTTAATAACTTCTTTGTAGGCTTCATCAATATGGGCTGTCGGTGATACGATATAAATACGCTCAAAGCAGTCCCTGTAAATCTTCAAGACTAGATTTTGGATAAGAATACCTTTCCCACCCTGTGAGGCACTAACAATGATACTTCTAAAAGGCAACTTATCAGCTTGAGGATATGGCGTATATTTAAGAAATAGATCTATAATATATATTGTAATGGCACATCTTATCTTGCTGAGTTTGGGGTCGCGGGATTTGGAACAGATGCCATATACCCGTCATAAGAACCCCGAACAGTTAATTCATTCATCGTCTCCTTTTCAAAGCAATTGAAGTGAATTTGAATTCGTTTTCCTTCTGCGTCCCCAACATTTTCGCCCTTCTTGCATAGTTTCCATAATATAATTAGATTGTATTATTGTATCATCTGGATGGGTATGAACTGTATGAAGATGCCATAAATGAGATTGAAGAAAGAATTGAAGACGATGCTAAATATCCAGTTGTTAAAGATAGTAAGATTAAATTGATTTGTCATATATTTTTGAACTTCATCAAATTACATTTGACTATATAAGATACAATGCCACCAAAAAAGAAAAGCAGTAAATTTAAGAAAGAACCAATACCTGAGGATTATGAATTATCAGATGATGAACCCAATATTGTAAATTTAAGCAAGGAACAAAAATTAACAAGTAAACATATTATCTTTGACTGTCCGCTTTGTAAATGTAAATTGCAGGTGAGGAATGAAATAGAAATAAACCCCAAAGGTATAACTTGTCGCTGTAATCCCTGTTCATTTGAGCTAACAAAAAATGACAAAACAATGAATGTAAGTAAAGATGATGATGGAGGGATTACACTGGAGAGTCAAGACCACAGTATCAGTTTCTCATGGAATAGAAGTACTACTCCTCCAACACAAGATGAAAAACATAGAAATGATATGGTAAAAGATGTAATGAATACACCAACAAATACACATAAGAAATTAGATTATATGGGTTAGTATTTAAAGGGTAGTTTAGTATTTATTAGTATACATTAGTATGGATAATAGACCTGAAAGAAAACCACGAAACTACAAAAATGGCAAAATCTATTGTATTAGAAACCATATTGACGGACGAATTTATGTAGGGAGCACGTGTCAAAGTTTGAGCAAAAGAATGGCTTACCATAGGCAAGATGCTAAAAAGGCAAACAGACACAATACATTGATATATCCCTTAATGTTGAATTATGGTCTGGAGCAGTATTATATAGAACTAGTTGAGGAATACCCCTGTGAAAACTCTAACCAGTTAGAAAAAAGAGAAGGTGGAATAACTAGAGAAATGAAAGCATCTTTGAATATGAAAGTGTCAGGAAGAACAAAGGAAGAATATAAAGTTGAAGAAGCAGATAAAAATTTAGACAAAGTAAATCCATACGAGGTAAAGGATATAGGTAAAACAACCCAGAAAAGGTTAAGGAACGAAGAAAACTAAACTATTGGAAAGACCCTGAAAAATACAAGGAGCAGGCAAGGAAATACAATGAAGAACAAAAAGAAGAAATCAGTAGGAAAAACAGAGAAAGATACTTGAGGAAAAACAAAACTCCCTGAATGATTTAGAATAGAAATTATTTGAAAATGTATTATTAAATATTCAAATAAAGATTTAGAAACTTCTAATTTAGTTTATATGAGCCCTCAGGAAGTTGATTAAAATTTGTTAAGCAATATCTACGAGCACACCCAAAAAAACAGCAAAATGTTATCTGCAATACTTTGGAAACTGAATGAACTGCCAGATGGAAAAGATGTAAGAACAGCAAAAGAAGATGGAGGAAATGTTTGAAAAAAGGGGCGTAGGTAAGCCCAGAGGCACTTTTGAGGGAAAACAAAAACAGTACTTTGAAATGGTGAAGGCTGGAAATATTAAAAACCCCGTAGCCAAAACTTTAGAATATTACCATATTATGAGAGATGAAAGGGGTGAATATATTATAAACCTTTTGCCAAAATAGTTTGATAACAAAATTCCAAACATATTGTTATGAAATTTTGCTGAAGAGCTTTTGCTCTCACACCTTCCCCTTCCCATACTCCCAGCAACCCAGCATACTCAACAACAACACGCAAACAAACATCCCCTCCCACAGGGTGTAAGATGGGCAACTCCACTGTAGTAGGCAAGCAAAGCTTGCACAATGGCAAAATCGGAATGCGCTGCCAAAAATCATGAGACAGCTTCATGAGTAGATTGGCGCAGGTTCCTGATGGCTAGTGTTCAAAGACGTTTTGTCAATGAGGTTCCGAAATCAACATCTATGAATCTACAGATACTTTAGAGTTTCATTCACTTTATGCGCTGTTCCTTCCAATAGCTCGTGGCAGTCTCTGGGGCTGACATCATCCAAAGGTTGCAAGACATATTGGTTCAAAGTCCCACATAGTGTTTGTGGAAAGGCACGCGATGGCGCTACGACTTTGCCGCATGGCGAAGATGTGCTCGGGCGGTGTCATGACAGAGACACGCCTGGACGTTCTACTTCTTAGTCCCCACCTGAGACCGCCAATCAGCCAGCTTTACTTGCGTGAAGCCACTGGCTTTTATGCTAGCCGAATTCACTATTTCAAGGGAAAGAACTGGCAGATACGCAGCTTGAAGGACGGACCTGGCTGCTTCTTCATCGTGCCGGTCATCGTCAATACGGGGGGCAGCGCTTACAATCGCCCCATCATCAGCGACGTCCTCCTGAAGCACTTCATCCCGAAGTTTGACCGAGCCATTTGGGGTGAGAAGAGCACCAAGGGCAAAATTCACCTCCCAACCCCTTTAGGAGACGATTTTAACCTTGGAGCGCAAGGATGGAATGATGCAAGGGAGAAGGACTGCTGTTTGCATGTTTTTCAAGGCATATGGCTGGAACTTCCGAACTTGCATTTGGTCATTGCAATTTTGTCTTGCCCTGCAGGAGCTGGACAACATGGCAAAGGAGGAAGCCATTATGTACAACTTGGTGGGGCACGAGTTGGCAAATGTGATTGTCCAGTGTGATGGCTTGGCTGGCAATCTTCAGGCTATGAGGGAAGACAATGAGCGCGAAGACTTCCTGCATGAATACTACCAGAAGACGGTAGAGGCGACTGCAAAGCGCTTCAAGCATGTGGGCGCAACTGCGGATGGCATCAAACGTGAAGTGGAAAGCATGATGCTTGACCCGATGACAGATTGGGGAAAGAGTTCCTTGCCTGTGCCGGCGCACTTGTGGAAATTTTCCGCCCAAATAGCCCAAAAGTGGCTGACGGGGCTGACCCGTACAGGCAACAGATGTTGCGACAGTGCATGTTTGTTGGAAAATGACCTTGAGATGAACAGGGACTATTCTGGCAAACACTGCGTAAATGATCAAACGATACCGGCATGATGCCCGACAATAAATATACCACATAAATTATAACATAATCTTTAGGGATGTTGTATAGTGGGGCAAGGTTATGCTGTTAAAATTTTTGGGGTTGGGTTTGTGATTGGTTGGTGTTTTGATTTATGGATTATTGTTTGATTAATATTGTTTATGTAAATTTAGGCGGGCAATTTTTCAACAAGACAAGTCTTGTTGAAAAATTGGAGTTGTATTTGGATTTGGGTTTATGGTTGATTGTTATGATTGGTTTTGGGTTTGGGTTTATGTGGTTAGTTTTGATGATTTTTTTTTGAAATGTTGTGTATGTTGTGTGTATGTTGGGGGATGTGAGGGTTCAGGGTTCAGGGTTGGAAGATGGGCAAGGCCCATTCTAACTCTAATATATAGGCCACTAGTCCCAAAGATGAACATTTTCCCTCTCTGTGCCAGAAGTGCGAGTAAGACAAGCAAAGAAGCGTGCCTATTTATTTTTGAGTGTTTGTGTCGCATGTTGGTACCGATGGCCCTTTGAGCCAGTGGGCTTTTGCCTGCCTGCCGACCTGTGCTTGGTGGGCCCTTTTTCTGGTCAAAGTGTGACCGGGGCAAGGCCATGGTTCCGGTCGAACATCGGCGGAACCCAAAGAGGCCCAAATGGTGCTACATGAGTGTCTCAATGAGAAAAGGACTTGGAGCCCGGAGAGCCACTGGGGAGGTGGTCAAAGATCTTGTGAAAGCTTTCGAGTTTGCCTAACACAGGCACTTCCAGTACTGGCAGCTGTTTGTTTGTTGATCTTTTGTCCGCAAGGGAGCGGCCTGGAGCATTTGGGGCGCGGTCCGGCATCCAAGCACACGTGATCGGCCTGTTCAGCGTCCCCTTGAACGAACCTCAGGATGGTGGAAACGGGATTCCATGTGCGAGTCCTTTTCGGCCTCGACAGTGACAGCCCCAAATCGCTGCAGGCGCCAGGCATAAGAGCTCCAGGCCAACGGTGTTCGCACCTACGGTGCGCATCCAATGATGGAAAGGAGGCGTGGAAGGAAGTCTGGTGAGTCTGGTTGTTCTCATCCACTGCTCCTACATCAGTGGATGCTGATCGATCCGGGGGATGTCCTGAAGGTGTGAGGCATCTTCACATCCACTTGAGCTGGTTCACCTAAGGGCACACGCTGAGTGGCAGTCTATCCTGCCCTCCCTTCCAGATCGTCGTCAGGTGTCCCTCAGGGAGTTCCTGCTGCAGCTGCCCCCGTATCGCCGCCGAAAGGTGCAACTAGAGGGGTCGGATCTTCCAATGAAGATTCGGAACTTGAATGCTTTGGGAATCTTTGATGTTGTGACTCGAAGGTGTTGGCTCACTTTTGATCCTTTGCGACGGATGACTTCGCATGACTTCGGCATTTTTAGCAATCACTAGCAGCATCCACGGCAGGGCGGTGGACCAAGAGATGGACCAGATGGAGCATGCCATGCATGAGACGGTTCAACCTTGATGAAATATGGGCTTCATGCGACTGGATTCCCATATTCAATTCTAAAACAGCAGGTGAGGGCCTAAGCGCTCTGACCCGCACTGAGCCCTTGAGCGCTTGTTCACCCCCATGTGAGCTGATGCGAGCGGTACCAGCGGTGGCAGCGCAGTGGTTAGTGGTGGCAGCTGCCCAGCCGATACATCAAGAAAGCATCTCGCCTGTGCTTGTACCTGTGTTGCGGGGGTCGAGTTGGTGGTCCTGTCAGGCATCGACATCGACGGCTTATACAAACATTCAACAAACGCTTGTTTCTTGTTTAATGTTGTGATGCTGTTTCCTGCATTTCCATGATGGTTACAAAGTCACCAGGGCACAAAAGGACCCGATCAGTAGACGAGCTCGTAGTCGTGCATGCGATTCCTTTGCCAAGCCATTGGTTTGTTGGTCCGAGGTCTTTCTCTTCAGAACGACTTCTGGTTCAATCACCTTCGTGGCATTGCTCCGGCACATGATCATGTGAGTTATGTGGGGGCTTTGAGCCAACGAGCTGGGAGCTTTGATGCTCTGCCCATTGCTGACTTCTACCTGCTGATGGTCTACAGCTTCTTGGCTTTGCACAAGCTCCAAGCCCAAGATTTTCCGGTCCTTCTTGTGGAGAGTCTAAGAGCTCACGTTCCAGTTTCATGGGAGGTTGGAACATAATGGAACCTGTCCTTGGATGGTCCTTGGCTTTCCTTTTTCCAACATCGGATGTTAATCCTTTGGGGTCCACGACCTTGGACCAGTTCTTGGACTTGTCCATGTGACGCCACCAGAGCTGTCGCATCTCCTCGGCGTCACGGTCCAGGCCCCTGGTGGCAGCACTGCCGTCGTGCGGTGGTGGAATTCAATCGCCTCGCAGCGGTGCTGCGACCGGCAGATTTACGGCCTCTGCTGATGGACTGCACCAGGCGTGGCGTAGCGTGGCGTAGCATAGGGAAGTGAGGACATACACCGACTGTCTTCGTGTTTTTGTTGTGTTTTCCAATGCTTTCCCTTCCCTCATGTGTGAGGGTGAGGTCTAGATAGAATTCCGTGAAGATTTTTGAGATCAAATTATCTGTATGATCTGCATCCATGATACTGTACACGGCCGTTTGTGGTCCACTTTTGCGATGGATCTCCATGATTCATGTGCGATCGTGGTGCTCTTGCCATGCGCACGTGCGAGGCCGGTGAATGAGAAGATGTGCAGCCGATTTCTGGGTGACCCACGACGGCCTTTGTGCCTGGGCCGTCCCAGGTGCTGAAAAGCTTTACAACACTTCGGTGGTAGCTTCACATGAGGCGTGCTTTGATCAATGTCATGTCTTCGGGAAACATCGAGCCCCCTTTTTGGAACCTGCTGTGTATGACGTGGATGACGAGCTGAGTGAAGTGTCCTCATGAGTTCATGTCATTGGATTCAACATCTTGGAACTGCGGACATCTGCAGCAAGCGTCAACAAGCCACAACAAGCCCCAAGGCCACTTTGGACAGCTGGCGTTGATGCTCACCCTGTATACGTCTCACTCTCTGACCCTTGGCCTGCTGCTGCTATGCCTCTTCTGGTGGTGGGATCTCATGAGGACTCTTTGCCCATGTTTCATGGCCAGGATTGCTGGTTGGTAGTCAACTTCAGAGGTCGATCCAGAGGTTTAGGGCCTAGAGTCTAGAGCCAGGGAAGCCACGGCGAAGCGTCTCGCTCCCCAACCATCCGCGCTCTATACGTGTGACCTTGGTTTCCCCATCAATGGCCGTGACCGATGGGAGGTGGACGGTGGATTTATTTTGGATGGAGCAAGTAGCCAACCAGTCCAACCAGTTCAACCAGTTCTGCAGGAGTTCCTCTCCAAGGACAACTTCGTGCGCGCGAGGCTGGCAGTGGCCAGACTGCTTCCTGGGGAGATCACGGCGGAGACGATGCTGCGCTGGGTGCAGCGTGCACGGCCTGAAGCTCTAGGCCGGCTGGCACGGGGATGATGTCAGAAGAAATCTTACAGTGATCTGTAGTAGCTTGCTACAGGTTTGGCTCTTGGCAAGATTGTGGAAAACAATAATACAATCATGATTCAACATGATTCAGCTGCTTTCTTACTCACCCCAGGCGGGTCTTGTATAGTAGGTCTTGCTTCTCAGGACCTCTCACCAAAAGCCTTCCAACAGCACGACCGCCTTGGGCCACTTTCGGAAATACTTCGAGGACCCAGGCGCCGGGGATCTTTCTTCCGGGTCCGAACGGCAGTTCCGAAGACATCAATCTGGTTTTTTGGAATGGAAAACCACCCCAGCTGGGTTCAAACGGTTGGAACGGATGAAAGCAGGCGGAGAAGGCGGATCTGGATGACTTGGACGGCTGGGATCGATTCCAGGACTTCCAGCGGGTCCGTATTCGTCTCTAGGAGAATTGGAAAGGGTGAAGCATTACCTCAAACAACTTACTGCACATTTTTTGTAGATAAGATAGGTAGTGATTGGTGACCAGTGATCGCTCTGCTGCAAGATGTCTTGAGCCGGTGTGGTTTACACCGCCACCGTTGGATCTCGGAACCCGCCAGCTGTGGGTGCAGGAATCCGATGTCCGAGCAGGCCTAGCCTTGTGGCTCCACGAGATCTTTGAGAGGCAGGTCTTTGAGATCAAGGACGGCCCGATCTCTGAGGCCCTGAAAGAAGCGGAGAGGCTTTATGTGTGGAAGATGAGCTCCAAGTGGAGTGCCATCAGAGAGAACTGCAGTGAAATGGGCTGAAATCAGATGATTTTGAGATGAGCAAGTCATAGACGTAGCCCAGACGCTAGGAGTGATATGATATGCTTCAAGAACAAAGTTAAGAGACCCTGCCAGGAGGAAGATCATCGAGAAAGAAGGAGGAATGCATTGCTTACCTTTTTGGACTTGCTGTGCTCCTACTTCCCAGATCATCTACCAGGTCCATCCAAGAACCCGCGGGACTGTCGCGAGTCGCTTTGCCACTTGGGATGGTTGCTGCAGGATCAGAGCCTCAACCTGAGCTTCATTGGGAGGGGAGAAGGGAGTATGTGAAAGGGAAGGGGGAGAGGTCAATTTTGGCCGGTTTTCCCTCTTTGCTCTCATCACACATGCAAAATCCGAGAATGACGAAACAACACACGAAACGCATCGAAACGCGGAGTATGCCCTGCCAAAAGAAAGGGGTCCTCTGAGTCCTTCCTCTTCACAGAAGTACGCATACACGCTTGTGCCCTGTGGAGGCAAGTTGTATCAAGTTTTGGGTCTCCATGTCTACTGTAGTACGGTTCCTTTCAGCTGAACGAAGGGAAGCTGCACCACCCAAAGATGAAGGCCAACCATGGCGGCCATGGCCAGCCCACCTTTGTTCATACTTGAGTGAAGGCTGGATGCTGGATCCCCTTCAATCACCAGACCTGCCCGAAGGGGATTTTCTCTATACTCTCGACTAGTGACAAAGGAGTTGTAAAACGTATGGTGGGTTTTACAACTCCTTTGTCATGGGTCTTAAAGCATTTTTGAGCAATGTACACAACTCCTATGTCATGGACTTTAAAGTAGAGAAACACATCAAAACATGGTCACACAAGAATAGCTTTAAAAAAAGAAAACAGAAAGCCGCCGGAAAAGATGAATAAATGCCGTGAGATAGGAGTTGTAAGTACCAGGAGGCATGATGAAACATGATGAGCAGGCCGATTCTTATGTCATTTGTTCTGTGTGCATCAATTCCCCTCCCTCCCTGAAAAACTATAAAATGCTTGATCATCAGCTGGCGACAATTCCCAAGTCATGAGGCTTGAATCAGCAACTCTGCAATTTTTGTGTTCACAATGACTTAGGAGTAGTGGGCCACAACTACTATGTCACTGGCCCACACAAGTCCTAAGTCACCGGTCGGTAGTATATTTATATACACTGTAACTCTCTATTTGAACATCTCGATTCGGAGCACCTTTCACAAGTCTTACATATTCTTACAACATTTGTTTCTGGGATTTTGGAGGGCAAACCTGCCAGACCACCTTCCTTCCATCGCTGGGGCGGCTGCCACATCTGCTCCCAGGAAGTTTTGGTCGTCCCACATAGAGAACATCGAAGTGGCCGTGCAGGAGGCTCCACCTGAGGGTCGCCCAGGAGAAGCCTCTGGGTCGACGGGATGGCGAAGATGGGTGCTGGACCAGGCCACCAGCTTCGACTGATTGAAGCATACCTTGGAAGCCTTGGAATGATTGAGGCTAAGAAGGGGTGGGGAAGAGACCACCATGTGCACTTCCGGGCATGGGGGGCTCACCGTTTTTGGTTGTATCCGGAGGCACCGGAGGCCCCCCAACTGCCAGCGCACGAGCTCCTGGTGGCAGGAGATGAACCCCAAAAGCCCGCGGAGTTGAAGCCGAGCACGCGGCGCTTTCAGAGGCTCCGGTGGGAGAAGCTGGAACACCACTGGCAGTTGTGTGGTGAACCATGGCCAGAGCTGGCAGCCAGAGGCTGGGCTTGAGTTTTTCTTTGACTTTGGGTGAGGTGTTGCATCTTTTGAATGTCAGGTTGCATCATATATCACAAATCGTGATCATCGTTTGCCCGAACCACGGCTTTTTGCTGGCTGAAAGGGTATGGTCATGTCACAAGTTCACAGGTCAGACCATCTCAACCAACTGCTCCACTTGGTCCTTTTGAGCCACCCCGCCCTGTTTGGAGCAAACAATCCAACACACATCTACAAGAAGGATCTTGCAACAACTTCGTGCAGACTCCCGGGATTCCCACTCCATCCCACCGCCCTTTGTTCGGACGCGTGGACGTGCCCGGGTTCCGGGCGGACTGACCCGGTTGGGACCCGGGTAGGCTTCAGCCGCTGCCGCTCGAAGGATCCCTTAGCCTCAGGGCGGCGGGGCTGCAATTCTGGCTGTGGGTTGCAAGGTTGATGTTACATCGGCGCAATGTAAGCAGAACGGAACGTGCGCATGGAGTCATGGAAAGAGAAAAACTATGGACAACTGGAGATGAAGTTCCGAAAAGTGGGTGGAACAACATCAGTTGCGAATAGATTACTGTGACTTCTGATATTTCTACCCTGTAACTCACGTTCCTTCGTTGAAACTCAGTTCATTTGTTTGCCCCCCCTCCCCACGCCACGAGTTTCCGGTGGGTTTCCCCCCTTTCTGCACGTGTCACCCTGGGGTGCTCACGATTAGACCGAGGTTACCCTGTGGAGTTTGGGGTTTGATGCACTCGGTGCTCACGGAGATCGCCGAGCTGCGCCAGTGCACCATGGCCCATGCCGAGCGCCTTGGTGCCGGGGGGGGGGACCGAGAGGTGGGGTTTGAAAGACGTTACTGGAAGTTTCTGACTGTCCGTGAACTTTCTGTGACGACATTGTCATTTAGCTAATGTTACGCGACTTACTTGAGTCTTCTCTTTTGTTGATGTGTTGTTTTAAGCTACTGTAACACTGTAATTGACTTCAAAAAACGTCTTCTTGGAGCGATGGGCGCTTTTTGAGCTGAGGAATCCGGATGATTGCATCGGCCCACCCAAGAACACCACGGCCAAAGAGCTGCGGACCTTCATGAAAGAGGACCATTTGGACATCGCGGCGCGCTCTTTTCGCGGTGGTGGTGCGGTCGGGCACAGCATCGAACGATATGGTTCGGTGATGGCACGGGAAGATGTTTCTATCTTTTTTGTTGTTGTTTGATTCCTCATTTGTTGTTGACATCAGATCCAGGGCCAGGATCGCAAAACATGGATTGCCGTAGCAACGACTTTGGCCCGAGCTGGGTTCATCGACCGAAGACACGTGGGATCTCGTCGAGTCGAGTGGATCTGACGAGGAGGCACAAAACATGAAGGTCTTGGAGGCGGAACAGCGCCGGGAGTTTCTGGATGAAGAGTGGGGCAACCCCAGAGGGGCAGCTGGGGGGCCTTTCGAGGCTCGGTGGACCTTTTGAACCTATGAAGCGCGATTCTTGCAGAAAGTATGTAGATATTGTAGATATTTTGTAGATCATCTACAGGGCCTTGGGAGTCAAGAGAATATATTTGTGGTCCATCTGGTCATACAAGTCTTCCGAGGCATGCGAAGAAGCCCGTCCACGAGCTCAGTCTTCTTGAGTGCTCCTCATTTCATAGACCATGGATTGATGAAAATGATTGAACATGCCTCGATGCTGTGGGGTCAACCCACCACCGATTCAACTGTGGTTCTTTGAGGTCATCAGATAGGGCATCATTTTTCTTGCTTTGCCTCAGCGTTGCCATTTTCGAGAGTTCGTTTAGGCTTTTCTTGTCACAACTGCAGAGGAAACAGAGGATTTTCTGTCAGGCTAGTAATGCCCCACCCATGGTCATGCTGTACGGGACAACCTCCAGTTGCACCCCAGCTGCTCAGCTTCTCAGCTTCCCAGCTGTTCAGCTTCCTTGCGCATGTCCTGCCGCTTGTGCCTGGATCCTGACTCCGATGAGAGAGCCTTGTTGGCTCCATGCGCCTGCCGTGGCTCCTCGGCGCATGTACACGCAGACTGCTTGTTGCAATGGTGCGAGCGCATCAGTGACTACAAGACCTGTGACGTATGTCATCAGAAACTTGGATGCAAGTTCTGATGCAGCAACCTCATTACGCCTTGGCTCTCGAACGTGGATGTCCCCCGAGAGTGGAGAGTAGAGACGAACAAGCTATGGATTTGCACTGTGGGCAGGGCGACTCAAAATGAGGTGATTTTGAGCCAAGCTGTTTTGCAGACACGAGGTGGCTGTCCAAAGATCATGGGCCGGAAGCCCTGTGAACCCCTCCTCATCTCAACCTGATTGTCTTTTTCTGCTGTTTGCGAATTCCTCACCGCTTACCAGCGGAGGGGTATTTATTTTTGGAATTTTTTTTGTTTCTTTTTTGGATTTTTTTTGTTTTTCGTGGCTTCTGGCTTCTGGCTTCTGTGGCTTCTGGCTTTTGTGGCTTTTGGCTTCTGTGGCTTCTGGCTTTTGTGGCTTTCGTGGCTTCTGTGGCTTTTGGCTTTTTGGCCTATCCATCTATCTGTCTATACCTATATCTATTTATCTATCTATCTATCTTTCTTTCTTTTGGCAGCTGTTCTCCTTTCTCTTTTTGTATTTGCTTTTCCTGTTGTTTTCGTTGCAGAGACGAAACCAAACAAGGAAGCAAGCAAGCAAGCAAGCACGAGCTGCTCACCTTTGGATCTGGTGTGCTGCTGGGGGGGGGGCGCTGCGCCCCCCCCGCGCCACGAAATCTGCACTTCATCCCCGACACCCGCGCCTGCCACGAAATCAATATTTTAAGGTGAACTCCCCGGTGCAAAAAACTTTCTAACCAAGCAAATATGCCTCCTCTATCTATCTATCTATCAATCTAATCTAATCTAATCTAATCTATCTATCTATCTATTTATCTTTCTATCTTTCTATCTTTCTGCAGTTCAACATCCACAAAGTACTGCACCTGCCACGAATCTGCACTTCAAGGTCCACAAAGTCTTGCGCCTGCCACGAAATCTGCACTCCAAGGCCCACAAAGTCCTGCACCTGCCACCAACTCGACTCTTACACTTCCACACCCACAAAGTCCTGCATCTGCCGCGAAATCTGCACTTCAAGGTCCACAAAGTCCTGCGCCTGCCACAAAATCTGCACTCCAAGGCCCACAAAGTACTACACCTGCCACGAAATCTGCACTTCAAGGCCCACAAAAAGTCCTGCGCCTGCCACAAACTCTGCACTCCAAGGCCCACAAAGTCCTGCACCTGCCACGAAATGTGCTTTGCAAGGTCCACAAAGTACTGCACCTGCCACGAAACACGAAAAACAAAAAAAATTCCAAAAAAAACGAAAAAAATTCCAGAAATATATTCGCAACCCTTACCAGCTAACTCAGACAAACTCATACAAACTTCTTAGAGACTCACGCGACAAAACCCATATGATAAGTAAATGATAACACCTCTTGAAATCCCATCTACACTCTACATCCATCTATCTGTATATGTATATACATATACTAGTTATTATATGCAAGTATGTATATATATATATATACATATACTACGGACATCGCGGTCGTCACCCGAATCGCCTCTGCTGTTGCCGTCGCCTGCCTTTTTCAGGCCCTTCGTGGGCCCAGCGGCTCTGCTGGTGGCCCGGCACCGCTTTCGCCGCGCGGAGGGGCTCAGTGAAGAGTCCCAGGAAGCCTTGGAGGCCACGTACCAGGCCGGGTAGGTGGGTGAAGCGGTTTTTCGACAGGTGGGAAAGCTCGATGAAGATGCACTGGTCAGATGATTCCCTAACCTGCTGTAGGTTGATTTCATCACTGGTGTGTTCCAAAGGCACAGGTGGGGCCATGTGACAGTATTTTTTGGCGAATCTTGCAAGCAGGCTCTGGGGATGCATCTGTTGTGCCTACATGTATGAGCAGCACGGGCCTGGACCCCTTCTGCTGGAGTTGAAAGGACATGATTTTTTTGGGTCTCTCTCATGTTGAGCGACACGTCCAGGTAGCCCAAGCCATGGCTGCGGAGGGCCAGCACCGCGAGGCAGTGAAGCAACTGGACTGCAGGATCTGATGGTTGCCGGGAGTGTTGGGTGGAAGTTGGGTAGGAGTTTGGCAGCCTGCTGCGTCCAAAAGTCCTTGTGGAAGTGGTCAACCTCTTCATGTGCTTGACTGCCTGGGCATCCCAAAAAGCATTACTATCAGGACCAAAACAAATCATCATCAGGATATCAAGGAACGAAGACAACAGAAAGGGCAGACCTCTGGCTGAGCTTCTTTTTGGACGTTTTACAGATATTCTTTCTTCCTGCGCACGTCTGCAGGCTCTTTGCCTATCTGCACAAGATCTACCAACGGAAGAAAGGCGACACGCACTTGGATACTCTGGCGGTGGCCAGTGCGCGAGCGCTTTCGCTCCATGCCCTTGGGTCTCACGCGGACGCTGCGGAACTCCAGGACTCCCAAGGGATGTGAGGATTTGATACCGGAGGATTCTCCTGAGTTGTTGGAAACCACTGCGCTGCCTTTTTTTTCTTTTCATGGCTGTGCTTCTTTTGGCACGGGATGTCTTTGTGAGTCTTGGCATGCTGGGCCTTGTTTTTTTTTGCCCCGGCGGCGGGCGTAGGCGCATGCGGGCGCTCCGTGCTAGGAGACCACGCTGGTGACCTTGCAGGAGAAGGTGGGGCTATCGCACCCGCGCACGGTGACTGAGAGCTTCAGCTGCAGCTGGTTCGCGGGGACGGGTCCACCTTTTTTCGTTTTTTTTGAAACCACCTTCTGGACCTCAAGGGTGGGTTGATGGTTCAAATTGGCGTTGCAATGGGCAGACTTCGGAAAGAATCAGTTTGCTCTTTTCGGAGGTGAGGCGATCTTAAGATGTTTTTTAGACTTCTTGAAGCGACAAGGAACTGCATGCCGAGGGGCTGGGCACCTGGCACATGGCGCACCATGTAACACGATGTAACACGGAGGTGAGGGGTGGGGGGATACCGTTTGACCCGGACAATGCGAGTTGTTGACCGGATGGTAACAGACAGTACACGTCCCTCGACTCCCTCGACTCCCTCGGTTTTCGGCGCATCTCGCGCTGTGAGGTCCAACAATCTCGCGCTGACCCTGACCTCCTTGGGTCGTCATGACGAAGCCGTGCCGCTGCTGCGGATGACGCTGGATGCACGGGAGCTGCAGAATGGGCTGCAAACGACGGAGTGGATCACCGTGGCCCGGCCTGGAGCCACGCATTGGGCGGTGTAGGACCTACACCCACCTGTGAACCTTTGAAAGAATGGCCTCAGAGCCATTTGGCTGATGTAACTGCAAGATTGTGAAGAATTGAGGATCACATGTGTCAGGTTTCAGTGACCGCAACTATTCCCCGATGGAGGGTTGGATGTTCAGTACATAGCCCACTGAGCCCACGAGAGTATGGCCAGGTGGGTGTGTTGGACTGAATTCATGATATTTATGGATTGCTATTTCTGCCACAAGGCAGTTACAATCTTTTACACAATCGGCCATGGAACTTGGGTGTTTTTGACCAGCTCACCTGGCATCATTTGGCATATGTTGCTTGCAGGATTGCACATGAGTCCCCCGGCTACTGGTACCGCGGTTCTCAATAGGACCACGGAGTTGGCATCACTAATCCCAATGTTTTGATCTGCCCCATTAGAGGGGCCGGATCCGCTTGCTTTTCAACCCTTTGTCCGTGAAAAACGCCGCACCTTTTGAGTCTTTGGAGCGCGCCCGTTGGGCACTTTTTTGCACGCCGCTCGCCATGGCTGTCCGAGGCCGCCAACAACTTGGCGGGCGGCCTCAGCAAAGTTGGAGACCTGGAGGAGGCCTCGGAGGCGAGACGCAGAACTGGTGCGACCGGAGGGAGGGAGGACCGTGGCGAGGACTTCTGAGGGGTTGAAGAGAGGAACTCACGCGGCAACTGGGTAAGGTCCCACCAATGACATGAACAGCTTAAACATTGGGGTCCCTGGCATTTTTTGGATTCTCTCGAAGGCCTTTCAAGATCGATGGGTCGCACCTTGTCAACATGGCTGTGAGAAGAAAACCTGCAGCCCCAAACCCCAGTAGGTTGACCTCCCATGCAGTCTATTCTGTTCATTTTCAGGGATCAACCATGTGCCCGGCTTTGACCCACAGGCACCTGAAAATGGGTGGCCCTGGCTTCCGCGGGAGTTCCGTGCGGAACGACCTCAGGTCTTCCAGAAGGCGGTGGCCAGTAGCGGCCGATTGCTTGGTCAGGAGCACCCGCTGACCTTGAAAACGAAACGGAACCTCGTGGTTTCTCGGCTCAAGTCAATGTTGTGCTCCATTCATCAGCTGTAGTGGGGCCAAAACAGGCTTCCGCAACTGTTCTTTTTTAAAGCAGCACCAGCCATGTAAGCCATACAAAGTAAAGCCACACAAGATCAGCTGCAAATGGAAGCATTTCCCAAGTTTGCCAATGAGATTTGTGAAAGGGGTGACTCTGACCCTGAGCGGCACGCATTTCTATGTCCTAGGTCGTCCTTCACCAACGTGGACATTTGAAAGAGGCCAAAGACTTGCAGATCCAGTTGGTGTCAGTGATGGAAAGGAGCTCGACCACACCCGCAGAAGAGACAAGACTCTAGGCTGGCACAACTGGGTAAGTTTAGCAAGGCAACAGGTAGAAACCATACCATCCACATTCTCACGTTAGGCCATTCTGTTTTGCACGCTTGGCTTGCTTGGCTTCAGGAAAAGCTTCTGCCTTCCTGGACTTGCTTGAGAAAGCTTTGGCCAGAGGTCAGAAGAGAAAGAGCCTCGGGCAAGACGAACTAGGACCAGCAGTCTAGCCTCGAGTGTGGCTTATGGACTGTCAATCTACTAACCGTTATGAGTTATGAACCGATCAGGAAGCACAGAGACATGACGTTTTTGCCTCTGTGGGTTCGGAGTGCTGTGCTTGGCCCAAGGACCACGTCAAGTGCAGAAACCTTGACCGATGGGTCGTGTGGGAAAAGGGTGACGGATCGTTCGCACTGCGGCAACTGGGTGATTTCGTTTCGTTGTCGTTCACAAGGGGTACAGAACGCAGTCAGCGCTCGTTTGGGTCTTCGTTTGGGACTTCTAATCGGCATGGCTGGCTGCCCTTCTATTGTCATCTATCCGAATCTATCCATGTCACCTGGTTTCACCGATTGATCAAGGGGAGGGTGCGCCCCTTCATCAGGATGAAACCAGTCACTCCGAGGGCATTCCTATTAATGTATATGAACCTTGCACCACGAAAGAAAACCGTTTGTATTAGTCCTCAGGTCTTTGGTAGGCGTTGGTCATGCTCCCCCCCTTGGGAAATTATTTGGGGGGTCGGGGTCACGTCTTGAAATACTTTTTTTTGAAATAACTTTTTCAACAATTATTTGACTGAGGTGGGGTGTGGGTGGGTCCAGAAATGCATTTCAACTTGAGGTGAAGGTGGGTCCAAATAATTTTGTGTATTCATGTATCTTTGCGCATGACGTTGCTGAAATTATTTGAGGGGTGGGGTGGGGGTCACAAGAATCTTGCTGTTGTTTTTTTTGGCTGCCTTGAATTTTTGTAACGGGGGGTGCTTCACCTCTCCAAATAATTAAGGGGGTCCCCCGTCAGGGACCCTCAAAATAATTCTTTATTATCTGGAGGTGGGTACCTCCCCGTCCCACCCTCAAGGGGACATGTTTCGTTGGTCCGTGAAAACGTGATGGTTGTGACTGCTCGGACGAACATGGTCGTGACCCACGACCCATCCCAATATTAGGATATATTAAGATGTGTTTGTAAACCCATGCCTTTTGGGGTTTGGAACTTTCCTTTGACTTTGACCAATGGGTTTGGTTTTTTGATCCATCCCCGACTTGCTGCACTCAGACTTTTGCTCCGGCGCCTGAGGTCCGCTTGCTCGCGCCGGGGGTGGGGGAGGGTTGGTGCTTGAAAACACAAGGTCATGTGCTCAGGGGGTCGGGGGAAAAGCATATGAGCAGCATTTTTTCAATCTTCTTCAAGAACAAGTTCTGTAACATGGAAACTGCGAGGGGGCTTTGGCAAACTTCTGCAGAATGGCTCATACGGTGGCGCTGGGGAAAGATGTCCGTATGTGTGAAAGCTACAGAAGGTGGGTTCCCAATGGCAGGGAGACAGCTCTCCTTTCGAAACCCGCGGGTGTCAATTGGACCTTGCGATCACCAAGTGACTTCTTCCAGTGGGCGACGCCGAGGACTCTATGCGGGCTACACCTCAGCTCCAGGAAACAATGTGACGGTCACTTGGTCGGAGATCTTTCTGGCCGAAGCAGGTGGAAAGCGTCCCCCTCACCATTGGATCCATTGGTCGATGTCATGGTCTTCCTTACCCACCATGGTTGGGTCACTGGTGGGTCAAAGCGCACGTGAACTCGCAGGGCATCACCATGTGTTTTGTTGTCATGTCACAATGATAATATTGCGAGGCGGTTCGAGACGTGTTTGTGTTTGCATGTGTTTGCAACCCTGATATCCTGGGCTTGGGGACGCTATTCTATTCTTGTGCGTAGTGGGTGCAGGGGATTTGACGCACATCCGCATGTGTTTGGGACAGGTTCCTTGGAAGTCTTTGAGCCAAATGCCGTCGATTGAGGCAGTGATGCGTCTCGAGGTGTTGAAAGGGGACGACAAGGCTGGGCAGGGGTGCTTATATGGGCAGATTTTTGGACGACACAACGGCCATCGCTAGGCTGTGCAAGGGTGCTTGACCTGAAATATACTATCCACTAGTGATTTGGGACTTGTGAAGTGACTGTGCAAATTTCAAAGTTCCATCTCATGTGTTTCCAAGTGTGTCCACAACTCCCATCTCATCATGCATCTACCATCAAAATCAAGAACACCAGAGGGTAGCCGAGCCTATCTCTTTGAAATGATGTATTCCAAAGGGGACACTGGTGAGAGGGGAATTGGGGGCACTTCCCCGCCCCCCCCAAAAAACATTTTAAGGAGTATAACTCCTATCTCATGTGCTTTTGAATGGTTTCAGTCAACGTTTCGCGGACACATGTGCCAGGACTTGTGCAACAAACAACTTACCTCATAATTGGCACAACTCCTAACTCATGAGGGGGTAGTATAGCTGTGAGAAGCAGATGTTGTTTTGAAAGGTGGCTGGAAAGCTAATCAGCTTCGAAGGCGGCCTGGCTGCAAGAAAGCTCACCATGCAAAAGGCATGATGGATGGTATGCAGCTTTCCTGGGTTTCTTTGGCGAATTCCTGCAGCATTGCAACGACACAACCGCCTGACGCATCTGGGATGTCATTGCTAAGGCAAAGAGGTTGACGAAATGGTTCAACTCTCAGTGTGGTGGTCAGGCTGGGAAGGCTCACCGAGAATGAGCCCATGTCTAAGGTGGAACTTCAGCTAGCAGATGACTTCATCCGGAAAGATGGAGGACTTGCACGTTCTCAATTCTTTTTTTGGCCGGTGGACTTGCAGCCTTGCATGGAAGGATGCATCAGGTTTCACTCAAAGCAGGCACATTTGCTGGGACATGTCCTCCTTGGGTTTCGCCACTGGAAACTTTTCTGTGTCCTGCCTGCTGTCGATGTAGAGTTGCGGGCAGGTACTGGTAGGGTGCAAAGAAAGCCTAGATCTTCACGCTGAACACTCACATATCTCCCATGGCCTGAACCTGGAACTGGGTTTGTACAATTTCCCGACCAAAACCCACTGGTGAAGGATGCCCATGCACAGAAAACGTCATGCCCGCTTGGCGGGCATCGATGATTTCGGAAGCGCTCCCCCATATTGATACATTGAGACGAGTCTCCTTCATCCCCCACATATACTGTAAAAAATGCGTCACGCTGGACGCACATGGTTCAAGGCATGTGCGTTGAGGATTTAGAACGTGTTCCAAACATACACTCCCTAACTGTATAACATTCTGGAACTAGCATGGAAGTGGAAAATAGACTGTTGGAATCGAAGACCCTTTTCCCGGGGAGAGTAGGTAGTGAGAGAATCTCAAATTTGAGGTCGGTGATCTCGTTTCCACCTTTTGTTCTTGCTGACCTGGGCTCTGCAAGCTGCAGGTGCCCAGGTCTAGTCAACGAAAGGACCGAGCGGCCCAAGACACTCTGAATTTGAGACACAAGATGACCAGCTGGTGGTTGAAGCGATGTTCATTTTCAGCCATTGCTTATGCTGATTGGTCATTGGTCCCACTGACATCCACTGACTAATATGTTTCAAGAGAGTTGAAGCCTCCAACCAGCAAGAGGCTGACTTCGCTGGTGCCATCACCAACACAGGAAGAATCAGCCCATACCAGGGTGCAGGGCAAGATCGACAAGGCAAAGGCGTCAGGTCTTTCTCGGATTTCACCACTGATTCCTAGCAGACATCACTCCTCGATGAGGTCCACTGAGCTTTCTGGGCTTCTTTTGGGTACACAACACTTCTTGAGCCATCCCTGCTTGCCGCATCAGTAGAGCCCCTCACCGCCACGATCGTCTGACATGGATTGAAACCAGAACATCCTCCACCAGACTGCTGCGACGCCATGACGCCAGCGACGCCATGGTAACTGCTGCGGGTGTGGGGTTTGTCGGGCTGGGCCAAATGGGCTCAGGCACCGCGGCGGCACCGGCACCGATGATAGGGAAGACTGTTGCTCAATACGTCCGCCGATTGGATGCGCTCACTTGCGGACTAATAAGGGAACACTTTTACCCCTGAATTTGCATGTTGGAACCGAAGGCTCACTGGGGCACTAGTGGGCACTAGACCTCAAAGGTTCATTACCGTGATTGCTGTAGATTGGTTTGCACGGGTTTCTGAGGGAACTGAGGGGATTGAACGGCCACGAACTTAGCTCAGACATCTCAATACGGCCCCACACACTTTTCATGGGCTTGCATTCTGGACGACCTAGGTTGCCATTAAGAACTCCATTCAGTCCAGCTTGGTCGCTGTCGCCGACCCAGGTCCACTGAGCAGCACTCCCCCTAGTTGGACTTGTATATGCACCAAGACTATTCGCAAAATTGTCCTTAGGTGACCTAACAAGGAATTCCCTCGACTTACTTGGTGCCAAATGTGGTCTTTAGACTTCTGGGGTGTGTATAATATATATATATATATGATATATATATATATATTTTTTGTATTTATTTTATTTTTTATGTTTCTAAAAACCCCATCCGCCCGAGCGAGTTTCAAGATGTTTCCACCCGCGGTGACGCCCCGAGGCATGGCAACCAACTTGATCGCGCATCTACGCCCCCAGGTGCCATGCCGGAGAGCGGGGGAAGGGAGGAGCCTTGGCAGTGGCTCACCGAAGAACTGAGACGGATTTCGCGAAAGGTACAGCGGAATCGGACAGATTTTATTTGCTTGCCGAACATCCTCAAGTTGACAACTGTCAACCTGTTTTTGGTTCAGCACCTTGAGCTGGACCCACCACAATATGTTTCTTGAGATGTGCTGGAATGAGCTCAGGTGCGTCCGTTCGTACCGGAACGATGCTGGTTGGTCCTCCACTTCGAGACATGAGCACGAAAGAGCACAGATCTCACACCAGCCAGATAGATGGGACCGAAGCAGATCCAATCACATCAAGTGTCAAGTACTCCTCTGCAGATGAACATGGGAACTCCAAACTCACTGGGTTGGGTATGAAGGTGGTCGAAACCACCGGGTCTCAGGTTGATCGTGGGATCGCCCCGTCAGGGCGCCCCCTTGGTGCTCTTCGACCTCTGCCGCGCGGCCTGCGAGCGCGTGGCGGCACCAGTCCGGGTCTCCCCGGCCGTGGTCGATGTGGCGTCCGGCGAACGTGGCAGCAGAGGGCGGGGCCAGTGGGTCAAGTGGGAAGCACTTGGCCGCGCTGGTAATTGTAGACTCATTGTAGACTCTTGATTCATTTCTACTTACCACGCCCACATTTGGGTTAGCAAAGCCTCTTTACATGCATGTTGTTTTCCCATCAATCCAGATTCTGCCTTAAGATGCGGAATGGAATCATTCATCATTCGAGGACAGTCCTGAACACCGGGCCATACAGCTTCATTTGGGACGTGGAAGGGAATGGCAAACCATGGTCCACGGTTGGTGGTGTTGTCAGCACATTCGCACATTTGATCGCGATCCAACCGCCCAAGACCAGATCGCTGGTCATGAGGCATGGAAGACCTGGCCGCCCAGTGCCAACTCATCCTCCTTTGCCTGCCGGACGGTGTCGCCGTGCGAGATGCCACTGAAGCCATGGCACCCCACCTGCAACCAGGAGAGGAGCTGGCGCCAATCGATCGACCAAACCCTACACCACAGTCACCAAAACAAGAGGCAAGCTCAAAAAAGGCACTCTCAGTTATAGTGACCTGTGCATCTTCCTTACAGGCCGGCAGTGTTGCCCCAACGGAGCTGTCGCCAGGATCTCTGGTGGTGGATCACAGCACGACCTCACCACAGGTGGCGCGCAACATGGAAGCGCTCCTTGGCCAACGAGGCGCGAGCGGTCAGGATTCGTCACATTGGCGCATGGCCGTGAGGGTTGGGGCGAGTCTTTTTCTAATCTGGCAGTGGGAGGGGTTTGATATGGTTTGATGATGATGGCGGAAGAACATCTTTTCAATTTTCTAGCCTTGTTGTAGAGGATTGAGTCTTCCAGGTGGACTTGTCCAGTCTTTTCTTGAAACCCAGCGCAAAAGAGCCGAGAGTGGCCAGGCAGACATCCTTTTAATCTTACCATTGGCCCATGAGAAAAGGACACACCTTCCCACCAACATGGACATCTGACACGGCCCACGGCTGGTGAGTGTTGCCGATCCTGGTCGTCGAAGTGGTCATCGTCGGTTGGAGGTGTCCGTTTCCTGGATGCACCGGTGACGGGTGCCCCTGCCCGGGCGCAAAAGGGCACCCTGACCGCCATGGAACTTGGGCTGAAGGGAGGAAGATGTCTTGGGTGGTGAGGAGGAAGGGCTTTGTGTGTCAAGACATGTTGGGACTATATAACTACCCTACTGGGCTTGCTGGGGGTCAAGGCATCCTGGTCCAGCTGGGTCTTCGGAGTGATTTTCTGTTCAACATGAGTTGGACGGGAAGGCGGGATGTTGGAAATTGGGGGGTTCTGATGTTCAGCCACGAGATCAGCCTCCCAGGGTCCCATAAGCAAACATGGAGACGAAGGTCTTTCGGGCGGAGAGCGGAAGTTCTTCTTTCCTCTTCTTTTGACCCCTTTCTTCCGAGAACCATCAAGGTGGGTGGATGCAAGCAGAACCTGGAAGAAGCCAGACCAGTCTTGGAAACCTTCACCTCGAAGATTGTGCATATGGGTGCCAGTGGCAACGGGCAGCTGGCCAAGGCCATGAACAATTGCCCGGAGTCCCAGAAGGGGGGCCATACTGCCTGCTCCACCCGCCGATGGAAGATCTCCACATGTCGACCATTGAACCACCCTGCACGGAACCGGTGAACCGGGGCACGGGGCGCCAGGGGACCCGGAAACAATGGGTTGAACAAGTGAGCTGGGCTTTGTGGTTCCCAGTTCTGAGGTCTATACAACATCAGCTGCGCTGCAACGGCTGAAATGCTTTCCTTCGCAGCCAAAGCCGAGCTGCCTTTGGAGGAATTCATGGAGGTTGTGAGTTCTGGCACGGGGCAGCGTGTTGGCTGAAGCCGTTCATGAAAACCATGGAGCTGGGCGAAATGGACTTGCAGCAGTAGAGATACGTAGTGCAATGTACTGCAAGCTCCAAGGATGCTAAGCAATGCGCCTCCCTAACGGTAACGACCAGAGAAGCATCACACGGCAAGGATGTGTCCAGGGAACCATGGCAACTGACGATCTCGGAGACGACCGAGGGGCTCCGCCGATTCCCGAGGTCGTTTGGCTTCGACCAGTGGGCCCCTCACATTTTGCAGCGCCACTTGGAGCTACCCCTCTCCCCCGTGGCGGCACTGGTTTGGCAGAACGTATGTAATTATGTACATGTGGGGCACAAAAATTGAGAACCGCACCTCTGGATGCATTCTTTCGAACCAATCTCAACAGCAATGAAAGAATTGGGGGGAGAAGATTATACGTGCTTACACAACCAGACTTGGAGGACCATTCCAGAAACAACGTGTGAACAACAGAACGGCTGTTTTGCTAAATTCTTCGCTGCGTCAACTCACCGTTTCTGATTTCTGGTATCACTCACTCACCCCTTGTGCAAAATGATCACTTTGGGTGTGTTGGGTGTGTCAGGTGTGCCCTTCAGTTCGACCCAGGCGGACCACCATTCTCGAGTCCTGGGGTCTCCCCATTGCAGCGGGCACAGATTTAAGGACAGCCCCACACCCACCACAGCTGAGCTTTGACATGGCTTGCCCGATTAGTGCGGGAACATGAAGAAAGTGTGCAAGTCAAGTCGTGAATGGTTTTCTTTTCCTGAGCTGTGAAGTACTGTAATACACTTCACTTATATAAAAGAAATCAGCTAGTCATCCGCCACAAATGTTAGGAACAACACAAACAGCTCTTATCAAATGCTACTACTAGGTTGCTTCATTCACTTCGTGTGTGTGTGTGGCTTAGATATCCTCTATTGGATGCCCGCGGTTGCGGCAAAGGCTCTTCAGTGAAATCGGCGAGTTGCAGGATGACATGCGTTTGAGGCCACTGCCAAGGGTCTTGGCAGGAGGAATTGCTTCGAACATGTAGAGAGAATGATGTGCGCAAAATTGAGCAGCTGCTTCAGACGCACAAGTGGAACCCCTTGGAAGTTGTGCGTTGCTGGAAGTTGGGGCAGACAAAGATGCACGAAAAGAAACGGTCTCACAGCCTATGCACACTGCGGCTTGGAATGAGCCAGAGCCGAGAAGAATTCTGCAGCACACACAGGCTCACCATCTTCATATACTGTAATATAGCGGTTGTCAATGACCACTTGGAGGTTGTGCGGATGTTGTTCGAAGCTGCACTGACAAAGAAGCAGCAAGAGACGATTGCATTTAGCGGCTTGGAGCACACGTTACGGCGTAGAACCCTGCAGGCAGCTTGTACTCTCCCTGAGGACTCTGCCTAGCGAGTGGCTTTGCGTGTCCTTAACCCGCGACAGGTTGGGACACTCGCAGCGCTACCCCCCCCCTTTAGCGGCTTGGAAGGGCCACTTGGAAGTTGTGCGCCTGTTGCTCCAAAAGATGTGGAGATGGTTTACTTGACCGATGTTGAGCCAGGGCCAGATGCTGCTGACTAATGTTGCAAGGCCATGCAACTCCCCTGTAGATCTCTGTCGCCTATTTTGGCACATGATGCGGCATGTGGGGGTTTGCAGGTATGTCAGTTGAAGCTGGAAGCTCGAGCCACACACACAGACAGAAGTGGAGCCCATATTTCCCATTAACCCCCCCAAAATATCAAACAACGATGGGTCTAACCATGTCGAAGCGTCATCCTACTGGATAATTCTTGTGGTAATTCTTTTTCTCTCCAAAATGCCCCAGACCTTGGATCCCGAACCCACACCTGAGGCCAGTTCGAAGCGCCCAAGTATGGCTTTCCGATGGGCTCCGCCTTCAAGGACTTCGAGACGCTGAACGCGGCGGTGCTGCAGCAAGGCCCCGGTGCTTTCCGACCTTCGTTTCGGAGTGATCGTGGTTTTACGATCGGCCCGATGAGATCGTACGGACCGTGGGGGTGTCGCGGCTCGGGCCGGTGGTCCCGGTGGTGGTGTGAATCTCTTTTTTTGGGGGAAGGGACCTGGGGTCAAACTGCAGGGAGAACTTGTTCAACCGAAGAAGGACCAGTCGATCGAGGTCAATGAAACCAGCGGCCAAAGGCGAATTCGGCACCTGTCCGGTCACCTTAGACTGCTTATAGACCGAAGTTGATGGTTCACGACCAATGGGATCTTGCATGATCTTGCGGGTCTCCACCACTTGTAAACAGGCCACGTTTGGACATCAAACCGTGGCCTCGGCTCGGGGCCTGGGTGATGCGGTGAATTTGCTTCAACATGCTTCACGGTGCCACCGGGGTCGAAGTGGAGTACTGGCCACCGACCGAGAACGTCAGTTTCCCCAAGTTGGATCCTTTCGGGGGCTGCTATATTGTGGCTGTGGGTCCAAATCGGGCAACCCTGGTTGACCATGCAACATGGACAGAATGGATTACTAAGGAGGTCAACCTACCAGAAAGAAACGTGCTCCTCACAGAGCCATATATCCTCACCGAGCGCCCCAACAGCCTCCAGGTTTGGATCTGCCTCCAGTGCTAGCGGCCGCCGAAGCCACGTACCGTGAAGCGCTGGCACAAGGCCTGGGAGATCAGCACAAAGGACCGGTACGTGGCGGTGATTCGACCGGTCCGAGGTCACCGGATGTTGGGATGCCTGGCTGTGACTCTTTTCTTATGTTTTCTTCCTTTTTTTCCTTCATGGAACGACGCATGGACATATGTGGTGTTTTGGTCCAGGAGGGGTATGAGGGCACAAGCGTTCTCCGTATCTATGCAATAGGAGCAATGGTGAAGGTCATGGAGCAGAAGATGGGCGTGAAATGCTCAGCGAAGAGCAGCTCAGAGTGATGCGATGTGGACAAAAAGGCGTGACAGTGTGACGGATTGAAGTGGCTGGACTTTATCAGTGAAGTTAGAGAGAAGGACATGAAGCTGGAGGACGGGTTGAAGTGAGGGTACTGTAATCCCAGGAGCTTTTTCCTTTTTGCCATGGTATGTGGTGGAGAGATGGAGAAACCATGTTATTTTACTGTTTTTATCCATGGGCATTTCTGCTTGAAGTATGGCCATTTTGGGAGACCCATTTCTTGGGAGAGCCGAAAAGGTCCCAAGGCCATTCCTTTCGGACCTTCGCCAGGAGCCATCATTGATCGCATCATCAAAGGCCCCAAGGCCATCGACGATTTGGAGTTTCAGCACCTGGGACGGGTGGACATGGGACAGTTCATGCGACGATTGTGAGTTCATCGGCATGTGGGGGCAACCCATGTGCAACACGTGCGAATGTTAGTAGCTTTTTCATGTTGACTCTTTCTGGATGTGGGATGTGGACCATTTTGACATGTGTGCAGATATTGGCGATTATTGTTGCGTAGGGCCAGACACATTCAGGTACAGTGCAGAGGATAACTTTTGAGGGTGGGCTTGGAGGCAACACCATTGTCCTTTGCTGACGGATCAGTGAGGGAATGTTTGTGCTTTGTTGGGCCAGCCCTGGAACCTTTGTGTCAACACTTGAAAGCATGGGATGCTTGGTTTCGTTGCCGCTTTTGGTCCTTCCGCTTCTTCTGGGCCAAGCAGTTGTTCGCAGTTTTTCTCGTCTCAACTTTCTGCTAAGGTTCTTTAAGTTGAGGACCGTGGAAGGCGGGATGTCTAGCGCTCGAAGTGCTCGTGAGTGCTCTCTGAGAACCGGACAAATTCATCGGTTCATGGCCTTTGGCACGTCGCTGACTATTGGCTGCCAGTTGGGACGATGATGACCTCAACTTTCGATTTTGGATTCATTCAATCCGTAGCCTTGAGGCTTCGGCTTCTATAATCTAACCCTGTGTGTTGTTTGTTCGCTGCGCAGGCTCACCAGTGCCCTCAAAAGCAGCGCCATGGCAGGCATGTTGAAACACCGGCCAGATGAACGCCCAACCACTCACAAGTTCTAGTAAGTAAGGAGACCAGAACACCATAGAAACCTTTTAAATTTTAAATTTAGATCCTTTTAGAACGCCAGTCATTATTCCTTTTCATGACTCCAGATCGTAGCAACCCAGGTATTTCTGTGCGTTCAGGGGCTGGGAAGTTGAATCCGCCGCCTTCCGTTGAACCGTCGACGCAAGGTGTTAACGGGTGTAGATGATCTGTAGATGCAGAGAGCTGTATTCGCATGCTTTGCTTTGATCGGTTCCTCGAGCTACCCACATTTTTCGGCTTGCCGTTGTGTTTGCTTGCGACAGGATATGCTGAAAGGCTCCTTCCTGGAGCTGCCCGAGTTGGTCTTTGAAGGCAGGGACGATGCGGGTGGTGGCTGAACACCTCATCGCTTCGGAAATCTGCTTTCCAAGTTGCAACTTTCGCAAGTACCACACACGTCCTGCAGCTCATTGCGGAACATCACCTGATTGGGTGACGCTGCGACCAGTGATGTTTGACCGCAGGGCCGCGGCCGTGCCTGGGGCGTCCGCCCAAGCAGCTGGGCGAAGGTTGAGGTGTTGTGCGTGTTAGACTATAGTGTACTATAGTGGGGGGGCTATACAGCCGAACATGCCAAGTGTTCCAGCCTTGACGTGTATACAATATGTGTTCCATATTTGCACGACAAATGCATTCAACCGTAGGTGTTAGTCGATTCCCTATCATGATTCACCCCTGAGCAAGGATTTGTCGGCAGAAATGCTCGCGCTTCAAATTTGAGAAGGTCAAGGAGACTCACCGCCTAGACTTGCAGCCTTTGCAGTTGCTTGTCATGGATGACAGGGTACAAGTTACAGTGCAGTACAGTAGTCGTGAAGTAGATTGAAGAGTGAACTGAGTGAACATGTGGAAAGCCTTTAAATGGCAACATCTCATCGTGGGAATCATTCCCCAACACTGTCTCAAGCAACGGCCAGCAGAAGCCACAGGTGGAACAGCTGTGAAACAGTTAAGACAGAGTCAGAGACAGACAGACAGACAGACAGAGAGAGAGAGAGGGGCTAAGGCCACAATGCAACATGATCCAGATCTAGTTCAAGTTAAAGGATGGGTCACCATGATTGGTCTTCGTGCCGCATGATTCAGGCAATATTTCAAATTAAAAGATGAAGACCTCTCGTCATGGCACGATGCCGTCAGGACTTGGCTGAGGGAAACGTGACCTTGGGGTGCCTTGCACCGCACATGGCGTCGGGCCCGGGCCCTGGTCGGGTCCGGCTGTGCGCCGTCTGAGGAAGCTGGTGGATGTCTCCGATGCGCCCGACCAGTGTGCAGCAACCTTAGGGGTGAGCATGGTACGGCATGAAATGGCAAATGTTGTCCCCAAACTCTCAAGAATCCACTCATTCGTATCGTCGGCGGCTTAGTTGACCAACCCATTGGTAGGATCTTGTTACACCAAAGGGCCCTTCCATGCGATGTGCGAAGCTCGCTGAAGGATGTCTGAAACGCTGATGGAGTGCCAAACCATATCATTTTCAAACGAACCCGCTCGGCCAGATTGGGCGGCTCTATCGGAGGTCGTGGCCTCATGATGTTGCTTGATCCTGCTCATGTCGAAGCCAAGCAGCTGTAGTAGTCTGAAAGAGTTGCGGATCAAGGAAGTGGTTTTTCTGGAGCGAAGATCTTGGGAAGGGCCTTGTTCCATGTTCAGAGGTGGGAGACAAGATGAAACAGGAAGTCCGGAGAGAATGCATGGAAGGTTTGTGCTTGGTTGCGGGATGTTGCGGGTAATTCTGCTCCATAGGACGGTTGAAGACAAGTTCGGAAACATGTACTGTACAAGACTTTGTACAAAACATCGCAACGCTTACAGCTTCTCTGCATTGCCAGCTTGTGCTCCAGGCCAGCCTCTACCAGAATGTGGTCTTTGGCCCAGACAATGAGACTTTTTGCCCACAAGACCGAAGCCACAGGCAGGCGCCTCGGAGTGCATTAACCTCCGCGAATGCCCGAGTTTGCCACTTTTGAGGTGCTTGGATGTGGACTTCCGATTGCATTTCGAAGATTTCCCGCTCCTGGGCTACAAAACATCCGCCGGAGCTATGGTTGGTCAGTTCATTCTTTGGGGCACTCGATGCCAGGGTTAGCTAACGATGGCACGGCCAAGTATTGAAACCGGGCGACAGAAGTCTAGAATCCACGCATCCGTCATCCGCCCAACTGGTTCAGAACAACGGAACACTGGAAACGACGTCGGTCGGTGACGCAACAGCAATTTACAATAATTTACAATTTAGCCACACAGTTGCATTAGATCCATTTGGCGGCTCGTGTTCCTTTTCGCAGTTTTTGTGGCATTTCGTCGTTTTCCGTTGGGGACAAGATGGAAGACATAGGTGCAGTATGGTACAGTAAAGTACAGTAATTAAGTGCCTGGGACGCGGGGAATTTGGGAGACCTTCCCAGCTTTCAGTCTTCTTTCAATCCAAGCTTCTCAGTCAACACACCTCGCAGCTTTCGGGCTTACGCCGACATGGCAGGTTTGTGGCGGTGAAGGAGAACCGCGACATGCGCGCCAAGAACTTCTCGCCGGCCGGCGCGTTGCAGATCTTTCAGCGGGCTGTGCAGCTCTTCTGGTGCCTCGGATCGGAGGAGACGAATTCGGGGGATCCCATTGGATGGCAGCCACTGATGGAAGCGCCGAGCGGTTGTTTTGGGTCATACCTTTGGAAACACTATTGACATGGACAATGCACCACCTTGTATGAGTGGCTGGTTCTTCAGTACACATCGCTGACCTTCGACCACTGGAGCTCAAGTTTGAGTTGTTAGGTCCTAGGGGTTGTTTATGGTTGTTTGTTGAGGCGGCTTTTCTGTATACAACACTGGGAAGCGGGTTGGAATATTCAAATTAAATCAACAAAACTGCAAAAAGTAATATGTCAAACCATCAAAGCTCACATGCGTGAGACATGTGCTAAAGAACATAAAGAACCCGCAGGCCCATAAGTTCCCATATTATGCGTTTAAGAAAACAAAGAACATGGTGAAACACCAATATGTGTTTTTTGTTCTTCTTGTGGGGTCTTCTCTCACGCGCTCCCTCCCAGGCGCTGTCACGAGTGCCGCGTACGTCGGGGGCGCCGAGTTGGTGTCCGGACGTGTTCGGCCAAGAAGAATCATCAGGATCTGCTGGATTTGCGAGGATCTGTGAAGAGATGTGCATGAGCAGAATCGAAGTAGTTCTTCACTTTGGGATACTTCATGGGAATGGTGGTTCACTCTGTATGCCCTTAGTCAGGTGCTATTAGGGGTCTAAGGGAGGGTTTTCGGGCGGGAAGTCTTGCTTGTAGGCTTTGAGGCCTACAAGCTGGACGAAGATGAGGCTTGGGGACGAGGGAGGTTCGATCCATGTGAGACAGTGATGGTGATATGGTGATATAGTTCTTATGGTGATATATTATTGGTGATATATGGTCATATGTGCCCAAACAAACCACCAGTTCATCGCCCGTTTCTGAGTTGATGAAGAACACTGGTCTTCGGATCCGATCACGTCCTTCGTGACGTAGCTTCTGTCCAGTCCGTTCACAGTTGGCAGTCGGGTGACCTCTAGACATGGTACCGGTTTCGCTATGCATGCATGGTTGGCAAAAGCGGAAGGTCACATATGAGTCATTGTTGTCACGTATGATGAGGGAGGATCTGCGCGGAGAGTCATTTCTTGCTTTGCAGGTGAAAGCACCCTGCCAAGCATCGCTGTGGCTTTGGAGTGTGCACAATGCCATCAATGGGAGGCTCCTCATCCCGTACTGATTGCAGTCAGTCACAGCCATACATATCCATACATGAGCCATCAGCATCAGACCAAGGAGGGAACAATCAATGCATCGCATTGCATCGCCAAGCTAGACCTCAGGGTTGGCTGCACCAAGCTGGTGATGAAGACATATTGTACTCGAGCTACATTGATTCCCCACTAAACACCCCACATGTTTTTGCATTACTTCACATGACACCTCCCATCACACCCCTCAACAGTCATTTTCTGTGAGCCCCTAGTATGTAACAGCATTCACTACATGTCCATCTATTTAGCTACGGTTCACTAAGGCATGTGAAACACATGCTTCGACCGTCGCTCTTGGCTCAAGGAAAAGGGTGCCTCCGTCACTCTTTTCTTTCAGGGTGCCGGGTTAGTTGACCTGTGGTCGGCCCTCCCTTTCGTTGCCTTCGTGCTTCCGCACTCTTTCGCACTTCGTTGCCCCTTCCGTTCGTTCGTTCGCCGTCGTGCCTTCGTCCGTCCGGCAACTCGCACTTTCGCCACGGGAACTCGACCCTCCAACCGTCGGGTACTCGTTCCGGTCGATCGTGCCGCTAGGGATTTGGCATACCACTTCTACTTCCTCCCGGTAGATAGAATAAGTTGGGCCATCCCTTATCTTCCCAATAATTTGTGGATTCAATTGGTTATCAGCCGTATCGCGCAAGATACGGAAAGGCCCCTTGATCCCATCGCAGCACGTTTCACGCTGCTTCGACGCCCTGGGATGGGCAGGATCAATCCTGCGCCGCAGGATCCGGACGTTGCTTCGTCCAGCACGGCTGCCGCCGCAGCCGCGACGTCCGAAGGTCCCCAAGACCAAGAGGCCGCTGCCTCCCTTGGGGACGTGGCTGGAACCGCGCATAGCGCGGAAGCCACGGGCCAAGAACTCGAGGAAGGTTCAGCCGAACCTCCTCTTGTTCCCCCGTGTCGCAACGGGTGTTTCGTCATCTCAACCTACCTTCACTCCACCCGACTCCGAAACCGCCGGTGCGGAGGAGGCTGATGAAGTTGCGCCTGTTGACTCGCCAGCCACCGAGGTCCTTCCAGTCGAGACCAACACGCTTGAGTCGATAGTTCGACAAGAGCCTGAACTCAATATCCAAGCCCCTAAAGCCGAAGCAGAGCTCCAGACCGGAACCGCTGCTTCGCGCGGAGAGGTTTTGGAAGCTCAGGACGATTCGTTAGGCCACGCTAACGCCGACGAGCCGCCCTTCGATGTCTTTTCGTTGTTAGGCCCACCTAAGATAGAGCCCACCACTAAGGAGGAAGTAGAGGAGGAAGTGTATGCCGATCCCTCAACCTCTCCCGTGGGTCTACCCCCACTGCATACTCATAATCATCCGACGCAGTTCGAATCATTGGCCACTGATCCGGTCTTTGATGAAGCGGAGGTTGACTTTGGAGGCGAAGAGCCTGGCGACGACCTTGATGATCAGGCGGAGCCCACTCCCAAAGAAGAGCAACAGGAAGGGGACGAGGCTGACGACGAAACCGCGCCTAGCGCGGGGACATCACAAACTGCTTCGGCGGCCATAGATCCTCAACCTAAGCGTACGCGCGGGGCGAGAGGAGGCCAGAAGCATCAATTCGAACAGTCCGACAAGAAGTATGCCCTCACGTGTGACCTCATCGCTAGTCACCTGGCATCGCATACCTATCGTCGGGTCGGTAAGACTTACCACTTACCGTTCGTGAAACCGCTGATTGCGCGGAGAGATTATTCTGAATGGTACAAGTACGTCGTGTTTCATGCCGACGCATGGGCTGAGTCCCCCGAAGAAGGTGACGTTTCCGACGGGGCACTCAAGGCCTGGGCAGCTATCATACCAGCATTTTGGTCATGGTGCACCCGTAATGCTCGAATGGTGTTAAACAACCCACCTATCGATTCCCGCCCGGGTACTATCAGAAGACCTATAAATTTATCCCACTCCGCCAGGTCCGCTCCTCAGCAGCGACTTCATCGCGGGCAGCGCCGTCTGCTCAGCAAGCCTTTCCGGTGACCGTCCCGGCGCGCACCTTCCAACCCGTAGTGGGTGCAAGCGCAGCCAGTTCGTCCGGAGGCTGGAGACCGCAGTTGAGGCCTGTTGATCATCCTGTGCAACCCCGATCCCAGACTCCACAAGGCACTCCAAGATCTAGGTCCCAGACCCGGACTTCAGAGTCAGTTCGACCTCCTCGTCCAACCAGGCCGTGTCCTAGGCCTAATCGTGAAACCGCTGAGCCACTCGCGGACACGGTACAGCCGACACGCACGGTCCATCTTGCCGACGACACTGAGCAGGCAGATGATCCTATGGATGGTGTTGGAACCGAGGAGGGAGCACCCGCTCCTGAAGCCGAGGCAGATCCAGGATATCCAGAAGGAGCGGAAGAGGAGGGCACAGTTCAACAGGACGACCAAGGCGGAACCGCGCTTGCGCGGGAGGGAGGAAGCTTTCGAGCCAGATCCCGTGGTCGAAGTTGAAGGTGATGATTTGGAGGCGGTTCGCACTCGTGCAGCTAACACCATAACCCGAGCCGTAAGGTCCGGTCGACTTGGACGTGCACTTGCAACTGCAACTCCCCCTAATCCACCACCTCTAGACCCCGAATATCTGAATACTCCTCATAGGCCTCAGAACTTACCACCACATGTTAAGCTTCGAAGGCCACCTCCACCGAAAGCAAGCACCCGGAGCCTACCCGTGCCTGCGCAGCCTCCAAAAGCCGACGCTCCGCAACCGGAGCCTAATCAGCCGAAGGTGGCACCGCAACCGCGTCAGCGCGGATTCGTTAGGCTCCAACATGCTGCCCGCGAACCGCCGGCACAGCCTATTCCGATGGACACAGCTCGTGACACTGTGTACGACTTGCCTGATCACGTATGGCGAACTCGTCCCACGAGGGAGCCTGGCGGTCTGACAGTGCCACAGCCTGAACTATTGGTGCGTCCGAACACTGAGGTACACGCCATGGACGTGGACGACGAAGAAAGTCCACCCCGCCCAGCGGCCAAACCTCGAGCAACCGCCCCTTGGCGGCGAGCACCAACATATGCCCTTGAGGCCGAAGGAGGCCCCAGAAGCACCGGCTCCAAAGCCGCGTGCACCGGCAAATCCTCCTCCGCCGAAACGCACTCGTGTCGTGTTTGCATCAACATCACGAGTTGTGTTGAGGCCAGGTCCTGGCGCTCCGGAAGAAACCGCGCCCAGCGCGGAGCCATCATTTGCGGAGCATACACGGGGTACCGTCCCTCTGGTCGCCCAAAGAGTAGTAACCGGGTATGACTCTGGTGAACCTCCGGCCCAGTCTCCATCAAGAACGTCGGTAACCGTAACGCCACTAGTGGACCCAACTCATCATCGTACCCCTAATCGTAATTGGGCAGACCAATCGCTCGACGACGACCTGGACGATGAGCCAACGGATTCCGGGGCAGCCCCGTCCGGATCTTCAAGATCTAGGACACCGCCACCAAAGCCCATGGTGGTCAAGCCCCCCGCCGCAGTGCATCCGGGAAGACCCTTCTCAACGTAAACCACAATATGTTGAGTCAGGGCGGGTGGAAGAATTCTTTCCTCACGGATTCTTCACAACACCTCCTCCTGGACCTCCAAAACCTCCACCACCGCCACCACCGGCTCAGGTACCGAAACCCAAGCCGATGCCTGAACGACCACCGCGGTCTTCGAGCCCAGCTCCCGCAACCGTCGCCCAGGAGGCAACAGGCAGAGGTAGAGGTCAAGGGTATCCGCCGCCTCCCGCACCCTCCGCAACCGCGCCTCGCGCGGAGGAGGATCCTGCAGAGGCCGCACCAAGTGGCGGTAGCCTGGCGCCCGGGATCGCTATTTAGAGTTGTGGCAAAACGCCAATCACGTGTTTGGTCAGCAGATGTGTGACCCACTCACGTTAACGCCACCCGGTTTGCCCCAGGAGTTGGAAGTCGGCCTTGATTTCCATAAGGTTCTAGATGCAATGCTAGTCCCTGAGTTGGAGGTGCCGACTCGCCAATGCATTGACGCCCTCATCTCCCTTGAGCGTCTTGGTGCCAGGATCACCATTATATCGTTCACAGGGCACGAAGGCTATTTGCGTGCTGCCTCTCAGACGCAGCACTTCCGGGACTGCGTTCGCGCAGCGGGGCTCCGTATGGGCGGAGGGATATTTTTAACTAATAGTAAGGTTGGCCCTCAGGGCAAAACCCCAATAACCTCATCTAACGGCATCTGCGCATACGTAGATGATGACCCAGCCATTTGCAACGGCCAGACGCACCGGTTGCTACGTGTACCAATGCGATGCCTCGCGCCTTAACCAGCCGCATTCAGTCCTCCACGATCTCGCTAACATGATAAGATCAAGAGGTATCCATAACTGGAAGCTGGCACACCACCCTAAGGCACTGCAATCTGGCGAGTTCTCAGGCGAACCGAATCCGCACGGAGGAGGCCGCCGGAGGCCAAGGGTCAGATAACTGTCCTGCAAGCCAGTAACCGCTGCTTTGCGCGGTCACTTTTCGTTCGTAGGACTGTTAGTTAGGTTGAGTGCAATGAAACTTCAATCTCAATACCTTCAAGTCATTTTAGTTGAACTTTAGGTCATGCATCCAATTTTCTTTCAGTGCACTCGTTCTTCACCACGCAGCAGCTGCCACAAGGCGCTGGAGTGGTCTGGACTCTTCGTGTAGCGCGAAAATAACTGCACCTGCAGTTGGGTGGGAACCATGGCGAACCATACAGGGTTTTCCCCGCCTGACGATCCCCCAGGTGAACGGTCTAGGTCCTCCCCTGAAGAGGTCCCCGTAAGTCGTGGTAGAGGTCCTTCATCCAGCACCACTGCTCACGCAATGTCCGTCGTCACTCGCCTGAGGGGTTCGTCGCTCGCTGCACCACCGGTCACGCGTCCCAGGACTACGACCACGATGGAGTCTTCACCGTCCACTCCAGAGCAAAGGCCTGCCACTCGTCGAAGACGTTCCGGGTCGGGGAG